GCTTAAAATTTCTGAAAACCTTTTTTTTATATTCATTGTCCTGGCGCACCTTTCGCCTCTGCCATTTTGCCATCTCTGCGCTCGTTCGCATTCATTAATTCACATCGGATAAATCACAAAACGTTTAATGTGTCAAATAATTACAGAGCAGTCGACGGCGTTGAAAAGGTTGATTTTCTAGTTAATTAAAAATTACATTAAAAGCGAAGAAAATGCAGTATTAAAATGAAATAGATTAACTTCAATGAAGCTGTGTCTAATAATGATTTTAAACACGCATACGCCATGTAGTGCAGTTGTTTATTTAATGTTAAAAGGTTTTTAAATTTGAATTAATTTGTATAAAAATGAATTTTTAATCACATTCACAAAATCAGACTTAAAGTAGGTATACGCCATGTATTTCTGCTATTTATTTAAAGTGTATGTATGTATATAAGTAAATTTTTAATAAATATTTCTAAATAATACTTAAAATGATACATATATTTGTTGAATAATTATAAAATTAATATGTTAATTCAATTTTAATGAATTTTGCGAAATAACACTTTACGTATACGCCATGTATTCCTGCGCCATGTATCCTACAAATTAATTTGTAATAAATATTACTAACTAAGGTTTCAAGAATTATATATAAATAATTGATATGTTTAATTTCAGTTTTATATAAATTAAATTCAAATAAATCTTGCCAATAAATTTGGCACTAACAACACTTTCGTTGTCTTAACACAGTTAATTCTGAATTGAATATAAAATATATATTTCATAGAAACTATAATTGTTCATTGTTATTAAGCAAACAATTGTCAATTAAATCATTATCGCATCATATCTAAGCAACAGTGTAATTGCTCTGCGCTGACTAAGCTCTAATGAAAAGCTTTCTTTGATAACTTTCAGATTTATTTATTAACTCTTACAGCCAGAGGAGAGAATATTTTTTTAATTGGCAACTGTTCTCTTGATTCATTGGAATTTCTTTGGGGTTTTGTGTGTGCATGGGAGACTTGAGTTAATTACAACTTAAATTGCTGGCAACTGCAATGGTCAATGACCAACAGCCGCTGACCCAATTAGTTGAAGCAGCTCAATGAAAGAGCCCAAGGAGCAGCAGCAGCAGCAGCTGCCGCCGAAAAGGGCAACAGGACGCAGCAGGATAGAGCATAGCCAAAGCCATCTATGTACAAGTGGCATTCATTTCAAATTCTGTTTATGGAGTTTTAGTAAAGTGGTTTCACATTTTTCACTACCAAACTTGTTATATACCCTAACAGAAGGAGCAAGAAAAGTTTATCAAAGTTGATAAGGCTTGGCTTTGATTAATATTGCCTAATCGAGAAAGACAAATATGTTTTGAATTTTCTTATGCTAATTAGACACTCAATTTGTGAAGTCTTTTAAAAGGTTTCAGCGGCAAGCCCACAGCTTGATCTACTGATTTAGTCTAGAATAATGTTCTTGGCATATTTTGTTTTTAAAGATATATTTATCTGCGACGAGCTTCACTCTGCTTCTAAGATAATTGCAAGTCAATTTTAAGCAAATTTTATAAGATATCTATATTAGTCGACAACGAATTGAGACGACTCTATCCAGCAAGGCATCAGCCATCTTTCCCCTCATTCATCTAACAAGCTTCACTATCTCACTTAATGCTAGAGCTATAACTTATTGAAATTAACTTGTATTAACTATATATATATATATATATATATATATATATATATATATATATATATATATATATATATATATATATATATATATATATATATATATATATATATATATATATATATATATATATATATATATATATATATATATATAAATTTACTATAAAAGAATTTGTTTTGTATTCTACATTATAATCCCAAATATAAATATCTAAAGACGAATTCTATAGATTTATGAGTTGATCACAAATACTGCACATTTCTGCCAGAGTATATCAGCTATCTATATTTGTATTCTCTTCAGTCTTGTTGCAAAGCAACAACATTTGAGTGTAGTGCATAAAGTTGAAGACAAGGCTTTTGGCTTTTCAATTACAAAGGAAGAAGCAGCAGCAGCGAGCTAAGCTACGCTGACAAGCTAAAAGCATTTTCCAGGAATTGAAAAGCACAAAACTTGGCGAACGACAACTTTTCTCATATATATATATATATACACACATATATATACACGTATTTTGGCACGTTTTAGATTAGCTTATAAATAGGCAATCCGAACAATAGATCCAACTAAATTTGTTTGGGCTTCTGCTCGCTGGCAGCATTCATGCATTTTTCATGCAACGGGTAAGATTCAAGCTAAAATAACTTAACAAAGCTGTAAATATGATGAACTGTTGCCGGGCTGGGCCTCATCATTCTGAGCCCAGTTGCGACTCTGAAGGCGACAAACTTGGCCAAGTTTACGACTGCCCAGCGGCGGGCAGCTCTCTTAGCAGCGCAGCAGTTGAAAAGCTGAGGATGTAGAGGATGCAACTATAATTGTAACTGTACTGCCAGTGCCACGCCCACTTTATTTGCCTACTTTTTTTTTATACACTTGCTATGGGCATAGGAATTATGTTAAACAGCGTGTAACGCTTATATATCTACTGATGTAGGTAACATGCTCATCTCTAGCATTCTATCTGTATGTCGCTGTCTTTTTGTTTCTTTCTTTCTCTCTGTATCAGTTATACGTTCTTTCAATCTGCCTCTCTATTTCTATCTCGCTCTCTCTCTGTGTCTCTCTGCCTCACTCTCTATCTATGTGCCTATATCTTCATATTTCTCTCTCTCTATATATATATATATATATATTTATCCCTATCTCTACATCTCTTTCACTCTCTCCACATATATCCTACCTCCCTCTATCTCGCTTACCTACTCTATATCCATTTCACTTTATCTGCAAACATATCTTAAATTTCGGACATTACCAAAGTGATATCATCTGGATCCCATATCAGTTTGTCATAAAACTTGAAACTTGAAATCCTCGAGCAAATGTGTCGAATTGAATAAAGAAAGTTTGCCATGTACCTGACTACCTGACTGATAGAGGCATAGAATAGCTTATAAAGAGCTCAAACACTTTAGCCTTGCATGTGATGACTATATCAGGTCTATATATAGAATAGCCTATGAGTTGAACCTCAGTAAATTTCTCAAAAATTCATTGAATGAGCCTCAGTTAGCGTTAACATAATAAGACACATCAAATTGTTATTCCCCTATGCTGCAGCGTCTGTGGCAAGAATAGAGTATTATATGTTCGTCATGCCTCGTCTAGCTTTTCAATCTTGTTCTTCCTTCAGTTGTCCCCCGTCAGGCACTTGGCCTCCATAGGGCAGCTAGCAGCTAGCTGCCGTGGACCAATCGCATCAGCGCCAGCAGTTGCTTTAGTTTAGTTTGATTCAGTTAGTAGTTTGAGAGAGTTAAGTAGTTTTCTAAAGTTTTATGAATTATTAAGAGGATTTTCGAGTTTTCCGCTAGCCTTTCAGTTGCCAGAGCCGCCCCCGCACAGACCCGCCCATACAGTGTCCACTTTTATGCTCGTCAGCAAACGCCTGAAAAGCTGTCGAAATATGCAATTTTCAGTTTGTTTTTTAATTTTTCATGACAAATTCTGGCGCAATGCGAGCTTGTTGTCCTTGTTGTTGTTATTGTTGCTGTTGCTATTTTTGTTGTTGCTATTTTTGTTGTTGTTATTGTTGTAAGGCAGAGCATTAGTTACAGCGTTGACTTGTTGGCAACTGGTTTGACGCCCGCAGCATGGCAAACGAGCTCTGAGCTCTGAGCTCAGAGCTCACACAGCACGAGGCCATCAGATTTTTGGGCCAAAAATTAAATACTTTTTATTGTCAATAAAATTATAAATGCAAATTATAATTTTGTGCTGCCGTTGGCCAATTAGCCAGTCAGTGCCCGCCCACTCAAACCAAACCGAAAGCAACCAGTCAGCCAACCGCCCTCAGCTGGCAGGCCGAGATAATGCGCGCAATTCCCCAGCTCGTTGCCCAACACTGGCTGCGTTTCTGACGTCAATGTTGTATTAAAAGTTGAACATGTCGCCGCTTTTGGTGTCCCTTTTTTGGTCGACTGTCGCCAACTGGGCTGACTGTGAGTGGGCGGGTCGGGATGGGTCGGGCCGGGCCGGGCCGGTGGGAATGTTGGATTTTGGCTAACTACGTGGACGTTGGCATGTTAATTCACTTTGCAAATTGTTGCGTCGTTGTGGCTTTCGCACGGAATGCTAATCATGCCTAGGTGTGCACAACAACAACAACAACAACAACAGCCGCCAGCAACAACACCAACTGGCAACAACTTTGTTGATTTGCTAAGTGAAACTTCGATTAGGCGGCGCATAGACACACAAACGCGCTAACAAACTGTTGACGAGGTCCACAGAAAATATACCGCTTGAAAAATGTGGAAGCGGGCATATTCGATTTAAGATTGAAATCACTTTTTAATATACTAATCAATGTACTATGTTCAGGCGAGGCTCTTCAACGATCTAAGACTGACTACTCCGACCTACTCCGCAAGCTTAGGAACCACAGAAAATGATTTTCAATTGAGCTCAGCTTGAATTAAAATATTACCAGAGTATGCCGGCGCCATGTATACCCGTTGGGAATATTTCTACTTGTTAGCTTTAATTTTTCGGGCCGGATTTTGCAGCGGCTCAAGCTGCGGCCCGTGCGGCTGTAAAGCGAGCTGGGTCCGCCGCATAAACTTGCGCCACGTGAAATTTGTTATGCTCTATTTCGTAGCAAAGCAATTACCGACCCACATATACCGCTGTCTAAACAAAAAAATACACACACACGCGCACATATGCAGATGAGCGCCTTCTATGAACTCAGTCCTGTAAATTTATTTCTGTGTGTGTGTAAAGTTTTACAGCCCATACACGTCCACATACAGACACGAGCACAGCGGCAACGGAAGCGGCTGTGAAAATTAAATTGGTATAAATATATTTACCTTTACCTGTAGCACAGTGAAACCAAAGCAATCAGACACGAGTGTAAGCTGTAAAGTGAAAACAGAAGACAGAGAGTGAGATAGGCAGAGTGAATAAACTGAAAGAGAAAGTCATAGTTGGTGAATTTTTAAATTAAATCTAGATTTTCTTTTGTTTTATGGGAACTGAGGGATGGAGATGAAAAAGCAGAGAGTGAATATTAGAAGGAAATTGAGTGAGAGAGAGAGATGTAGAATCTGTGAGAAAGTATGAGGAAGTGCGCCAGTGTGAGAGCGAGTTGCATAGAATTAGATTAGAGGTAAGGGAGAGAGGATTGGGAGAGAGAGAGTTTGAGTCAAGAAAGTGAGAATAGATTGAAATTTAATAAGTTATCAGAAAAAAAATTGAGATATATATAAAGACAGAGAAAGATCGTATTTTAAAAATAAATATAGTAATAGACGACGGGATGAAAAGCAAGAGATAGTAAGAGAGGCAAGGGAAGAGAAAAAGAGAGACAAATAGTAAGAGAGATAAACAAATAGTTTAGATGGAGTGAGTGGAACAAAGAGTAAGAGATGGAAACTGAAAGAGTGAGAGAATATGAAAGAGAAATTGGGAGATATAACGAGAGATTCAAGGAGGCAGATGGTGAGAGAAAGAGAGTGAGTGAGAGATATAGAGAGATGGAGATAGATAGAGGGAGAGAAAGAGAAAGAGAGAGTTATGGGGAGATAGAGAGAGAGAGGAATATATATAGAAAGAAGGGCGAGAGAAAGAGTAAGAAATATAGAGAGAAATATAAAAAGAAATAGAAATAGAAATAAACTCGCTGCTGGCTGTCTAGCTTTGCTGCAATAAGTATGCTAGCTTTTTCCATAAAATAGCAGCTGGAGCTGTTAGCTGTGTTCTAAGCTTGCCAGCTTAAGTTACCTTTTGAAACAATAATGTGTGTAGCAGCTAATCAGTTGAGTCCTTTAGTTATGTTGTGCTCAGCTGTGCTAGCTTTTGCATACGAAGTAGATTATTCGGGGGGGAGGCACTCGCTGCCTCAGCTAGCTCTGCTGCAGAATGTCAATGACTCCAGTCTGTGGGGACTAATTATACATTTATTCGCCTGTTGCTTCTGATATCAACATCGAGAATAATTAGCAAGTTAGCCAATATACATATATATTCTATATATTATTCTATAATGGCTACTTTAGACTTTGTTCAATTATGCCAATTAATATGGCATGTCGCTGACTGTCGCAAGAGCTTTAATAATTTTTTCCTTTCATCGGCGCCACACACAAAAAGCTGACATAAAAGTTAAATTGTAAAAATAATTAATTAAACTTAAACTTGGGCAAGAATTTGAAATTGGCAACAAAAAAGCTGAAGAGTCGAGCCTTTTTATACAGTTCGGGCTGCTGACACAGTGCGGCACGTGGCAGCAGCAACCAAACGACGCAAAAAGTGAAAAGAAAACGTAAAAATAAAATGAAGAAGTCGACGGAAAATGGGAAAATTTTGCAGGTTTTGCATTTGTTGCATTACGAGCACTATACAAATAATCGATAGCTTTTACGCAACTCCCCCAGCATTGGGGCACGATAATGGAGGAGGTGGGGTGTGGGCGGCCTTTGATTGGGGCACACACACACACACTGTCTGTGTGTGTGTGTGTGTGTAGGGGCAAAATTTGTGCAGACAAAATTTATAAGCGCATTACAAGAGCTCGTGTAGTTTTTGTGATTTGTTGCGAGGTCTCCGGTCGCCGGACTGTTAAATGGGGTCGATGATGGTGGCAAACGGCATATACAAAGTGCTTACAAAGCGTTTGGGCGATTAATCAGTTCGGCAGCAAGAGCAGCGCCATAATGCACTGATGGAAGCCAACGACTAAAGCTATTATACCTACATACACACACACATATATATAGATACACTGCGAAAAATAACACAATTGTTTTCAATAATTCAATTATGAACGTTTTTCGGATTGCGGTTGCAGCTTAAAACTATTTAAGCTGGCAAACAAATTTCTTAAATCTTTTATTAAGAAAAACAATGCAATATACAGAAGCCCAAGAAGCTTTTTATAAGCCAATCTGGCATGTAAGCTGCTTTTAAGCCTAAGCAGCTCAAGGTCGTAATTGCTTTTATTATCGAATAAAAAAACTTCAAATCAAATTCAATGCAAGTGGAAAGTGAAAATATGTACGAAGAGCTTACGATGATTATGGAAGAATAGCTGGAGTTGTATAGGAAATAGAAGGAAAACTAAATTGGCAATTGCAAGCTTAAGGCTGGCTATGCTGTAAGCTGTAAGCCGCATCAATTAAAATCCGTTAAGTTTTTGCTTATATTTTATTTTCTATGGAAAATATTTGTTATTTTCTGTTTAGTTTAGGAATTTTTGCTTTTTTTTTGTATTTCTTAATTTATTTTATTTTTGACAATATTGATAAGCTGCCAAGAAAAATGCTGTGAAAAAATAAACTGCTTTAAATAATAACTTTTTTAATATTATAAAGGCAAATACTAAGCTTTGCCAATTAGACTTAAAATGGCAAAAGTTATGGAAAATATCAGCAGCTCCTCCTGAAAGATTTGCCGAAATAGAGTCATCCAAAATAGTATTGCTCTTCTTTGGTCAATAATATTGAAGACTAACTTTTTGTCAAGTGTAAATCTGTATTATATATACATAAACAAATATATATTTGTTTGTTTGTGTGTATGTGAGTTAAGTCCTTGAGGCAGCGCCCCGAAGGAGCTGCTAGCACTAGCAGTTCGCGCGAGCAACCAAACAGCACAGCAGCAAACGTCGTTTTGGTGGCTAATTAAGTCAATTATGCACTTAAAGCTTCAAGTGGCGTGCAGCAGCATCAGCAGCAGCAGCACAAGTTGCAGCAACAGCAGCTGCCGCCACGCCCCAAATGGTGCCTGCCTTTCAGTCAAACATCAAAGTTAGTCACGCTCGCACGCTAGCGCGCTGACTCTTCCTCTCGCTCTCTCTCTCTCTCTCTCTCTCTGTCTCTCCCTCTCTTTCTCTTTCTTATGCCTGCTGACGGCCGCTTCTGGTTTTTTAATAATAAAATGGCTTGGTACAGGAAATAACTCATACGCGCCGTATGCCGCACTCGCCATACATCAGCGACAGTTGCTGTTGCCGCTGCTGCTGCCGCTGCTGCTATTGTTGTTGTTGTTGTTGCTGGCATTGTTGTTGGCATAAGGACGTGTTACTTACTTACAACAGTCTTATATATTACATTGGCCATACAAATACACACACACGAACACTCACCCATGTATCGACATGCATATATAAGCTGCTATATAATATGTATATGCCTGGCTGTTTGGCTGTACATATTATTGTTGTATGTGTGTGGGTGTGTGTGGCAGACACAAGAAACGATTTATCTCAATTTACATACTAAATGACAGGCAGAGGCAGGCTTTTGGAATGTGCCTTTGCTTTTGATAGCGGTTGGGGCGAGGGGAGGGTTGTGGGCGCCGAGGGGAAAGGATTGGAAGACGTCGCCACAGTGGATAAATTTCACATAGCTGTTGTAGTTGCGTTTCTTGCAGTGCAATTTCGTCCTTCAACAAGCAGCCTGTGTCGACGTTTATTAAATAAGGCCATGTATTGATTTCAATTTTAAGGTAAATAAGATTCATTAAACCCATTTCGCGTGTCACATAAAGGCGAAAATCTGTTAATTACAATCTTATGATTTAATCATTATCGAAATGCGCATTGCAAACGGAAGAGTTCGCCTCACAAGGATCTGAATGAATTAACACTTTGGTATTCAAATTAAAATTGTGGCATCAGATATGTTATTCATCCATGCAAGTCAATGTATGTATATGTATGTATATGCTGTGCTACAGCATCCTTCATACACAAATCTCGTCTACTGTCGTTACTGTTATACGACACTGATTCTTATACAAAACTATTAAAAACTTTGGCTGTTATACGCAACTGTTATACAACTGTTATACGCAACTGTTATACAACTGTTATACGCAACTGTTATACAACTGTTATATGCAACTGTTATACGTAGCTTTTATACACAAGTTTTACCAACAGTTGATCTACACATTTATACAACTATTATACAGAACTGTTATAAAGTGGTATACAGATCTGTTATACAACAATGTTATATAAAGCTATTATACAGAACTTTCAAATAAAGCTATTATATAGAACTGTTATACAAAAAATTTATAGAAAACTAATATATACAACTGTTATACAAAGCTGTTGCACCATTAACATTTTAATTTCATAGACCAAGACCATTTTAACAATACCTCCCTTACCCTTAAACATTTTCATCCAACGTTTGCGCTAGCTTGTGCCACTGTGCAACGCCCACGCTAAAACGCGCTCGTCACTTGTCAGTTCTTTGTGGATGTAATGAAGGCGTTCGATGTAATAAATGCAAAATATTCTTTGTGACGCAGAAAAACGAAATTACGTCGAAGCAGCAGCAGCAGCCGCCGCAGCCGCCGCAGTCATCAGACAGCAGACAGCAGATAGACGGACATTTAGACAGCTGCTGGACAGTTGATGGCGAATGGTTTCACGTCATATCACTGAGGCGGCTGTTCCAAAAGTCAGTAAAACCTCAGACTAAGACGCTGCTTAGCTGTGGACTTTGCACGCTTCAGCAAAAAGAAAGAAGAAGAGAGCTTCGTGTAATTCCCCAGCGTGGCGGCACGCACATGACTTTTAATAAATATTAAAGACGGAAAAAAATGTGGCTGTCGAAAGCAAAAAAGGCAAAAAAAAAATCCAAATGAAACAAATATTAAATTAGACTAATAAAATATTGAGCGATTGTTTTTGTTGTTGCTGCTGTTTTTGTTGTTGACGGCTTCTTAAAGCTGCCAACTTGTGGTTCGCCAATTTGACAAATGTTCCACTCACACACATACACACACACACACACGCATTTAGTGTTGTTCTGTGAAAACCCCCCGAAAACACCAGCCACAGTTGGATAATTTAATGGTCTTTTACTATGAGTTTTTGCGTGGTCCGCTTGGGCGGCATTTT